CCCCTAGTGGCTGGCGGAGTGGCGGCCCCGAGGCGGCTGGTTGTACTGTGGGGCTGCTCATTTGCATGTGGGGCCCCTTCTTACCGACCCTGCAAAAGACTTAACGGGGAGAACTGCGCAGGTCCGAGCTGGAGTACTTATACTTTGTGACTCTTTTCATAGAGGTGAAATTTACCTAACATAAAATTAAACCTGGTCCTAATTCAAGGGCTTCTTGTTATATAACTATATCACTTGTATCTAGTTCTGTGACATTGTGAATAATATGTATTTGTTCTTTTAAAAGCGGGATATAATTTATTTCTATTTGAAACTTTCCCATCCTTCCCTTAATACAGCAAGTATCTTCCACTTGGCCACACTACAGCCATCCACTGCTGAGTTCTGGCCCCACTACCCACCCCTCACACCCACCCCAGGGCTCCAGTGTCCCAATAGCGTCCTCTCAGGCAGCTCCTCAACCAGGGGTTCGTCCTTCTCTGGGGTTGGGCACTTGAATGAATGTGCCAAACTAGGGAACCCGCAGCCCACTGTGGCCTGGCTCTGGCTTCAGCGATGTCCAATCTTGCTGCGGGGGACCCCTATATCTTTCTCACAAGATGTTTCTGAAGGCGCCACTGGGCGGTTCTACATTTTATTTTGATGCCAGCAACTTCTTGTAACCACTCATTACAGAGCTGCTTCTGCTTGGTCCGGGAGACAGTGAGCCTTGTCACTGCCCTGTGACTCAGGGATCTGTCATTTCTCCACAGGCCAGGCCTAGGGGATTTTACAGGAAGGGCTGGCATTCCCAGGCCGCTGCCGCTCCTCCCTTCCCTTCCCCCAAGGGTGGGAGGGAACCACCTCTTCCTCTTCTTCTCTTCCTGTCTCTGCCCCAGCTGACGTTCTGAGGCCAAGGGGTATTGCTGATCCTTAAAACTGAGGCTGGCCGTAGAAGAGATGGCTTTCATCTGGTATGGCGCCTCAGAGACAGGAGGCAGAAGCTGCCCCTGGCCTGGGAAGGAGGCGGAGAAGAGAAAGGACACCAGGGGAATCAGACTGGATGGGTGTGGGAGCCTGGGCTATGTTTGGGGCTCTGCTGCTTGTCCCGAGGTCTCAGGCAGGTCTCAGGGGGCAGGGGGGTGGGGTGGAGAGGAGCTGCTGCTGTTGGTGCCCAGACATGACCAGAATAGGTACCAGCGCAGGGCCCTCACAGTGAATGTGAGTGACATAGAACAGGTGGCCACACAGAAGTGGAATGAGACTGGCACACAAGACAGTGGGAGAGGGGACAGAGAAAGGAGCAAACTAGAGAGAAGCAGTGAGTGGGGAGGTGAGAGAAACCCACAAGGGAGTCTGGGGGCAGTGACTATTCATGAGGGCAGGGAACCCACCAGGAGAAACCAAAAGACAGGCGCCCAAGGCAGGGACACTTGAGAAGTGTAATGGTTCAAGGGATTCCTGAGATAAAATCTAACAAGTAGGGACACGTCCAAACAAAGATAGCCTCCTGCCCTGGACAGATGTGAGAGCTGTAGACAGTCTGGTGCCACTGTCTGTTAAAGCTGACGCCGTCCACATGTGCGAGGGGGGCAGGGTCGTGGGGTGGTGACTTTCTCTGAACCATCACTGTGGCCTTCCAGATCAGGAGACCTACTGGAGCCGGCAGCCATGCCCCACACTGTGGCATTCCTGCTCCTCCTAACCAGTGGGGCTGAGGCCTTTCGTATCTGTGCCTTCAATGCCCAGAGACTGACTCTGGCCAAGGTGGCCAGGGAGCCCGTGTTGGACACTTTGGTGCAGGTAAGTTCATTTCTGAAGGAAACCATGTCTGGAAGTCCCTAGCTCAACTTGATGAATGGCATGACCCAGAGAAAAGGAACATCAGGATGTGGAATATGCAAGGAGGAACCCATTACATCCCTTCTATTGGCCCGAGTTTCCTTTGTAAAGTGGGGGTCTGGGGTTGCTTCTTGGTCTTCTCCCAGGTTCTTTCAAGTCCCTGTGCTCTTTGGTGGCCATGCAAGCACCAGTATCCCAGGGGCATTGCCCCTCACCCCCAGCAGAGATGGCCAGCTTCGAGCACAGCTTTCTGGTGCAGATCCTGGCTCGTTGTGACATCACGGTGCTGCAGGAGGTGGTGGACTCCTCGAGCAGTGCTATTTTCCTCCTGCTCCGAGAACTCAACCGGTAAAGAGTGCTCTGGGGGTCAAATTTTGGGGCTCACCAGGAGCCTCGGGAGCCCTGACTCCACCCTGGGTTCTCCCTTTCCTGCAGACATGACAACTCGGGGCCCTATGACTCCTTAAGCAGTCCCCTGCTGGGGCGTAGCACCTACATGGAGAAGTATGTGTACATATACAGGTGAGCCAGGGGCGACCTTCCCTCTCCAGATCCAGGTGTGAATGCCCTGCTTTGCTGGTTGGTCCACAGTGTGGGACCACTCTTGAGCCCTGGCTGAAGGTTCTGCCCTAAGTCCCTGGGAGAATAAACTGAGGATGATCTGTTGGGGTCAAGATCAAGGAGCATTGAGGATCTGTGAGGGAAACACTTGCTTTCTATGTAATTTTTTTTCTATTCTTTACTGCACATTTTCAGACTTGCTTTACTTGTTGGGTGCTGTTGAGCTGACCCTTTGAACAACAGACCTGATCTGAACCTTCCCCTCTACCACGCTCAAGCCTATCGTTACAGTCACTCTTGTTAAGAGTCCTCCCTTTAGCTGACCCCAAGCGTGATATCCCTTTCCAAAGGCCGGCCCCTCCTGACAAGATGCCCGAGGCATGTGAGATGAAGCTTTGTCATCCTTGCCTTCAAGGAGCACCCTGGTTGCACGTTCTCCAAGATGGACCTGTTTGTTCTCTTGGGAGTCCTTGCAACATTCAACAATATAACACAAAGGCATCAATTCTCTTGTCATTCTTAGTCATTGTCCAACCTTCAGATGCAAAGGAAGCAATTGAAAAGATCATGGCTTGGATTGTGGTTGTTGGGTGCCGTTGAAATGAGTATGACTCATAGTGACCCTATCAACACCAATCGGAACCCTATTTTACCCTATGCTCTCCTCACAATCTCTAACTCACTTGAACCCTTTCCTGCAGTCAGTGTCAATGCACTTGAGAATCTTCCTCTCCTTCACCGTCCCTCCACCTTTCCAAACATGAAGTCCCTGTCCAAGAAATAGCTTCTCCTAACCACATGCTCTTCAGTACTTTGGAGAGGTCCCTAACAGCAGACTTTCCCATGGCAATGCGCCTTTTAATTTCCTGGCTGCTGGTGCCAAGACTGTTGACAGTGGAGCCAAGCAAGCTAAAGCTGTGAACAATCTCAATCTCTTTACTGTCCATGCTGATGCTGCCAATTGGTCCAGTGGTGAGAATCTTTGTCTTCTTGACATTGAGCCTCAATCCATATTGTAGGCTGCAGTCCTTGACGCTCTGCAGTGGGCGCTTCAGGTCTTCTTCAGTTTCAGCAAGCAGAGTTGTGTCATCCGCATAACGCAGATTGTTGATAAATCGTCCACCAATCTTGACCCCACATTTCTCCTCATAGAGCCCAGCCTCCCGGATAATCTGTTCTGCATATAGGTTGAAAAGGTATGGAGATAGGATGCATCCCTGGCGTACACCCTTCCCAATTTTGAACCATGCAGTGTTCCCTTGCTCTGTTCTGACGACTGCCTCCTGGTCCAAGTATAAGTTTCGCATTAGAACGATCAAGTGTTCTGGGATTCCCATTCTTCTCAGAGTCAGCCACAGTTTGTTATGATCTATACAGTCAAATGTCTTTGCATAGTCAATGAAACACAGATAGACATTCCTCTGGTATTCCTTGCTTTCAGCCAAGATCCATCTAACATCAGCTACAATATCTCTAGTAATACGACCCCTTCTAAACCCAGCCTGAACTTCTGGTAGCTCTCTGTTGATGTGCTGTTCCAGTCGTTTTTGGATACTCTTCAGTAAAATCTTGCTTGCATGTGAAATCAGTGAGATTGTTCTGTAGTTTCCACCTTCTGTTGGGTCACCTTTCTTTGGGATAGGAACAAATATCGATCTCTTCCAGTCAGTTGGCCAAGTGGTCATTCTCCAGATTTCTTGGCACAACTTGGTGAGCACGTCCAGGGCAGCATCTGTTAACTGAAATATGTCAATTGGTATACCATCTATTCCTGGAGCCTTATTTTTTTGCCATTTCCTTCAAAGCAGCCTGAACTTCTTCTTTCATCACCATAGGCTCTTACACAACAGCAACAACCACATGCTCCGAGTATGTGAGATAAAGCTTCTCTATCCTTGCAACCAAGGAGCACTCTGGCTGCGCTCTCCCCAAGACACATATATCTGTTGTTCTGGCCGTCCATGGGATGTTCAGTGCTCTCCTCCAACACCACAGCTCAAAGGCATCATCAGTTCTGCTTTGATTAGGTGCACTTTAATCTTTAAACTGACATCCTTGTTCTTTAAAACTTTGTAGAGGTCCTTGACAGCAGATTTCCCCAATGCAACCCATCTTTTGATTTTCTTGACTGTTGCCACCCTGAGTGCTGATCATGGAACCCCGCAAGATTAAATTATTGACAATTTCAATCTTTTCTCCATCTGTCATGATGTTGCCAGTGTTGTGGATTTTTGTTTTCTTGATGTTGAGGTGTAAACCCAGACTGAAGGCTACAGTGTGTCTCCCCCCCCCCTTTCTTTTCTTGTTGTGAATCAGATACAACTTGCACAGGAGGTTACCCCTCCTTCTCCAGCCGAGCATCTGGTATAATGTGTCCTTTTTACTTTAATCATGCAAGGTTGTGTCATGTGTGTCTGGCAGGTTAATGAGTCTTCCTCCAATCCTTATGTGTAAGGGAGTACAGTTTCTTTCTGGGGCTGTGGAAATGTTCTGGAACTAGACAGTGGTGATGGTTGTGCATCCTTGTGACTTTATCAAGAGCCATCCAGTTGTACACATGAAGCAGGAGGTTTTATGGTATGTGCACTGTTTTCCCCTAATAAAAGGTCCTAGGGTAAAACAAGGCAGGCTGTGCTAAGACTCCTCTCCTACACCTTACCCCTCCCAGGTCAAAAAGGACCCAGGTGCTGGAGTCCTACGTGTACAACGACCAGGACGACCTCTTCGCAAGGGAGCCCTTCGTGGCCCGGTTCACCCTGCCCAGCAAGGGTAAGGGGGGGGGAACAGGGTGGTGTGCATGAGGGGAGGAGGGTCCTGAGCCCCAAGGGAGGAAGTAGGGATGTGTGGAGGCCCTTTGCATGGGTTCCTTTCCAGTCCTGCCCAGCCTTGTGCTGGTCCCACTGCACACCACGCCAAAGGCCGTGGAGAAGGAGCTGAACGCCCTGTATCAAGTGTTTGTGGACGTCTCCCAGCGCTGGCACCGTGAGGTAGGACTGGGCTGCTCACTCAGGAGGGTTGGGGTCGGGCCGACCGGTGGCCAGGTGCAACCTTTGCCTTGTCTTAGGACGTGATCCTGCTTGGCGACTTCAATGCTGATTGCGCTTTTCTGACCAAGAAGCGGATAAGGGAGCTGGTGTTGCGGAAACAGGCAGGCTTCCACTGGGTGATCGCTGATGGGGAGGACACCACCGTGAGGGCCAGCACACACTGTGCCTACGACCGCATTGTGCTGCACGGGGAGCGCTGCAGCGGCCTGCTGCGTGCTGCCACAGCCTTCAACTTCCCTGAGAGCTTTGGGCTTTCAGAGGAGCAGGTGGGCCAGGGCCAGTGAGAAGGGAGGGGCCCGCGGAGCCACCACACCTGGGGCACTGACACTTTGTCCTGTCCCACAACCAGGCTCTCAACATCAGTGACCACTACCCTGTGGAAGTGGAGCTGAGCCAGGCGGTGCCCGGGAACCAGCCCCTCAGCCCGCTGGCCCTGCTGCTAGCCGTGCTGCCCTCACTCTGGCTGTCTCAGCTGGGTTCTGCCGCCTGACTGTCTCTGCCCTGGGGCCAGGATGACTCTGGGGGGTGCTGCACATCTTTGGGGACTATAGTCCTGCCCCCTCTGCCTGGCATTAGCATGTGGGCACCCCTAGAGTGTGTCAGGGCAGATACTGAGGGCAGGGAAAAGGGATTTTGATAAAACTGCAGGTCTTAGTAAAGGGAACTACCCAGGGTCACAAGGTTTTCTTCTCTGCAAAAACCTTTTCTTCTACAAAGCAGCAGCCTGGAGGAACATGCATGTGGTTTACAGTCTGTCAAAAGGCTTTGTATTGTGTCCTGAACACACACCCATAAACAATAATTTAGGATGGATTTAAGGGTGGAACTAAGCATGGCCCTCTCCACCTCCAGGAAGCAAGCTCAAGAAATAGACTTTATGTCTGTGGTCAAGGCCATGACAGGGGCCCGTCTTCATTGGCACACCATGCCACAGGACATCTAGATGCTAGGAAGCAAGTCCCACAGCCTCTAACATGCAGGCTGCACACTGGACTTGCCACTGCTATGCTGCTCAGGGAGCTGGAGTTAGGTGATCCACCCTTCCCCACCCCTTACTTCTTGAAGAGCTCAGTCTTGGTTTGTAACCATCTGAGTAATAAAGGTCATGGAAACTTTAGAATGGCTGTATGCTTTGATAGGGCTGCTCCAGCCAGCAACACTACCATTACCAGTTCAACTGGCTTGTATGTAGAGATGGTGAGTAGGCAGGGCCTGTTTTTGTGATACAGGTCAGGGTAGAGGGCTGCTCCACATGCCCGTCACCACTATCGCATGCCCTACTAGTTCTAGCCAAGATTAAAGACCACGACAAGCTCCTGAAAGGGGGCCTGCCCACAATCTATCTGCAGGATGCCCAAATCCACCCACAAGAAGCAGAGAACAAATATGGAGAGCCAGAAGTTCAATTTATTGGCGCACAGGCTAAGACAGGGCAGTGATAACCAAGGTCTTCAAGAATGCAGGGCCCGCCACTTGTCAAAGGGGCCACGATTGGGAATGTATTTCACTCCACAACCATCTGGAATGAGGCGCTTTTGAGCCACCATGTTTTCAAACTCATCCGCATTAAACTTCGTAAAGCCCCACTTCTTGGAGATATGGATCT